CTGAGAGAGCTCTTTCGAGAACTGCTCCTGAGAGAACAGCTCTGAAAGAACTTGTGACCAGTGTTCCCTCTAAGCTGAGTTAGTGTGAGCCAGCTCATGGTTTTTTAGCCTACAGCTCACAGATTTTTGTTTTAGCTCAGGAAGGATGGCTCCAGGGCAAACTGATTTATGCAGCAGCTGATTCACTCGCTCACAACTTTAATGCCAGTAGCTCACTGAGTAGAATTTCTTCCTCACAAGACTCCACAGCTTAGAGGGAGCACTGCTTGTGACTGACCCAAAGTCACACCAGCAGCTGCATGTGGAGGAGCGGGAAATCAAACCTGGTTTTCCCTGATTAGAGTCCGTGCTCCTAACCACTACGCCAGACTGGAAAGCAACCTGCCTTGGACAAAGAAGTCTAAGTTAACTTTTGGGCTTCTGGCTGACATCCCATGATGTGATGGAGAAGAGGGAAACAGAGAGATGTGGCAAATGTAAGTTCATTCGTCTGAAGGTTTTTAAAATAAACTATGTAAATGAGTTGATTCCTGATTGCCCCCGATGACTTCAAAGTCCTTGATTCTATGTGTTATAAACTGGAGAACCAAAGCTTGTCAGAGTAGACAGTATTGACCCTCATAGACCAGTGATCTGACTCATTATAAAACAGCTTCATATATTTGTGTTTCATTTATATGTGTGTGCAGGGGTCATTTCCTGCGGGAGCGCACAGGAGCGGAGCTCCAGCAGTAAGGAGCCCAGGGGGCGGGTACATGCAACAAGCCCCGCCCCCTGCTGCCAGCAGCCCTCAGTTGGGCCATGAGGAGCAAGAAGCAGCCAGGTAAGTTGTAGAGGGCCCCCCCCCCGGCTTGCCTTCAGGTACAAGCTCTCCCTCCTCTGTGAGGGAAGATCTGCGCATTCCCCTTCCCCCCATAGCTAGCAATTCTGAGCGGTGGGTGTTGCCTTCTGACACACTTCCGGTGATGTCAGGGGTGTGTGGCATATGCAAATAAGTTACGCAAATAAGTTATGCTAATGAGCTCCTGCACCTCTTTTTCTACAAAATGACCCGTGTGTAGACACACACAAGAGTTTTGTGTTCTGTATCATAGTCTTGCTGAGTTCTGGACTTTTACCCGGATATCACAAGATTGCACTGCTCCCATGAAGATGCGATGTGACAGGCTACTATGCTCTCTCATGTAGCTCCATCTATCACCCATTCAATTTAATCAGGACCAATGCTCCCTCTAAGCTGTGAAGTCTTGTGAGCAAAAATTCTACTTTGTGAGCTGCTGGCATTAAAGTTGTGAGCGAGGGATTGGGCTACTGCATCAATTAGGTTGCTCTGGAGCCCTCCTTCCTGAGCTAAAACAAAACTGTGTGAGCCAGAGGCTAAAAAACTGAGCTAGCTCACACTAACACAGCTTAGAGGGAACCCTGAAGGAAATAACCCCTTCTTTTTTTTCTTTTCCGGCCCCTTTTTTTTTGGGGGGGGGGGGTCTGTGGGCCAGACCAGATGTCAGTATTAGGCAAGGTAGCAAAACTTCTTTATATTTTTCTCTGAAACCTGTATGTGTATGCATCATGTTTTGATGTGATTGGTAGTTTAAGTTTTTAACTATCATTTACCATCCCCCGGTGATGTGCTAAGGTAAAGCTAAAGGTTTCCCTTGCTCGAAAGCCAGTCCAATCTGCCTCTAGGGGGTCGGTGCTCATCTCCGTTTCAAAGCCGAAGAGCCAGCGCTGTCCGAAGACATTTCCGTGGTCATGTGGCCAGCATGACTAAACGCCAAGGCGCACGGAATGCTGTTATCTTCCCACCGAAGTGGTACCTATTGATCTACTTGCGATTATCTACTTGGCAGGAGCTGGGTCCAGAGATGGGAGCTCACTCTGTCACGCGGCACTAGGGTCTTGAACTGCTGAGCTACAGACCTTACAGTCTGCAGCTCAGCGTCCCAAAGTGCCGTCCTTCTGTTCCACATCCATCCTGTGGAGGGGGGAATGGGATTGCATTCCATGAGCCAGAACTTCCCATGATGCCTGGCCCCACTAAATTCCCCTGTGTTCACGTGTCATGGCTATGGTGTGCTGGCCACTGCTCACATCAATGACCACCACCAGCTTAACTGAACTGAGGTGGAGAGCGTACTTCTACATGGGCTGGTGGTTAGCATTGCTGAGGAATGAAAAAAATAGTAAAAAATACATCCTTATGGGCTTACTGAAAGTGACATAGACCTATTATGCACGCAGAACTTCCCGTGATGCCTGGCCCCACAACTAAATTCCCCTGTGTTCACGTGTCATGGCTATGGTGTGCTGGCCACTGCTCACATCAATGACCACCACCAGCTTAACTGAACTGAGGTGGAGAGCGTACTTCTACATGGGCTGGTGGTTAGCATTGCTGAGGAATGAAAAAAATAGTAAAAAATACATCCTTATGGGCTTACTGGAAGTAATAGCTTACTGCAGATTTTCCGAGCGGTCAAGCCTTTAAGCTTGACTTCAAATTCTGGGCCTGCCTTACGTACCATTCTTTTTTCTCCAGTGTATTCAGAACTTCCCGTGATGCCTGGCCCCACAACTAAATTCCCCTGTGTTCACGTGTCATGGCTATGGTGTGCTGGCCACTGCTCACATCAATGACCACCACCAGCTTAACTGAACTGAGGTGGAGAGCGTACTTCTACATGGGCTGGTGGTTAGCATTGCTGAGGAATGAAAAAAATAGTAAAAAATACATCCTTATGGGCTTACTGAAAGTGACATAGACCTATTATGCACGCATAGCTTACTGCAGATTTTCCAAGCGGTCAAGCCTTTAAGCTTGACTTCGAATTCTGGGCCTGCCTTACGTACCATTCTTTTTTCTGCAGTGTATTTATTCTGCAGCTGCAGCCAAAAAACTCAGCTTTCTTAATTGGGGTGGGAATGTCACTTGTGACCAATGTTCCCTCTAAGGTGTGGAGTCTTGTGAGCAGAAATCCTACTTTGTGAGCGGCTGGCATTAAAGTTGTGAGCGAGCAATTTGGCTACTGCATACATTAGTGTGCTCTGGAGCCATCCTTCCTGAGCTAAGACAAAAATGTGTGAGCCGGAGGCTAAAAAACTGTGAGCTAGCTCACACTCACTCAGCTTAGAGGGAACACTGCTTGTGATGTGGGGGTGGCATCCAAAGGTTTTTAAAAAAATTACCCAATTGCCCTATTGCAGCCACACAGTAGCATCAAGTACATCCTCCTGGTTTAGTTCCTTGAATGAAAGGGAACACAAAGGAAGGAAGGCAAAGTAAAAAAGAAATCATATTGAAACTGACAAAATGATTTTTTGAAACTGACTAGAGGAGCCAGGAAGCCCTCTTTTCCATATTGCCAGGCTCTAGGGGATTCTCTGCTGTGTTATCAGCCACTGTGAAAAATGAAAAAGAGTCACCTCCCTCCGCCATCCCCCTCCTTCATTGCCATACAAGCACCATTTTGAATTATTTCCCCCATAGTTTAAAATGTTTTAATAAGCGGTACGAGACTACCAACAAACATTAAGTTAAATCCACCAAAAGCAAGAGAGTGCTCAGTAATGCCAGATCTACATGCACCCATAGGCAGGAGCCTGGAGAAAGAGAAGGGAGAAGAGGGGAGATTCCCCCATCCCAGCGGCAAGACAACTGCAGACATTTCAAGGGTGATTCATGCCCAAAGTGGAGAAACACATCCATTAGATCCTGCAGGCAGATGGGGGAGTGGAGTGAATAGGGGAGCAGTCGGGAAGCTGAGATGAAAGAGAGGAAGAGTGCTTGTCGAACAACTTGGCTGGGAGGGAGAGTGCTTGTCGAACATACACACAAACACCAGCTGAGCATTGGCCTCCATGGCTGCACTTGTTGCTGTGGTTGATTGGTGGCACATGACCCGAAAGGGAACACAAAGGAAGGAAGGCAAAGTAAAAAAGAAATCATATTGAAACTGACAAAATGATTTTTTGAAACTGACTAGAGGAGCCAGGAAGCCCTCTTTTCCATATTGCCAGGCTCTAGGGGATTCTCTGCTGTGTTATCAGCCACTGTGAAAAATGAAAAAGAGTCACCTCCCTCCGCCATCCCCCTCCTTCATTGCCATACAAGCACCATTTTGAATTATTTCCCCCATAGTTTAAAATGTTTTAATAAGCGGTACGAGACTACCAACAAACATTAAGTTAAATCCACCAAAAGCAAGAGAGTGCTCAGTAATGCCAGATCTACATGCACCCATAGGCAGGAGCCTGGAGAAAGAGAAGGGAGAAGAGGGGAGATTCCCCCATCCCAGCGGCAAGACAACTGCAGACATTTCAAGGGTGATTCATGCCCAAAGTGGAGAAACACATCCATTAGATCCTGCAGGCAGATGGGGGAGTGGAGTGAATAGGGGAGCAGTCGGGAAGCTGAGATGAAAGAGAGGAAGAGTGCTTGTCGAACAACTTGGCTGGGAGGGAGAGTGCTTGTCGAACACACACACAAACACCAGCTGAGCATTGGCCTCCACGGCTGCACTTGTTGCTGTGGTTGATTGGTGGCACATGACCCGATGCTGGTCTCCCCCCCCGCCTTCAGAGCTTGCAAAGGAGGCTGCTCAGAGAAGCACAGGTAGCAAAAGAATTGCAAGGGACCACAACAGCACACACAACTTTAAGTTTTTTCCTGTTGGTTCAACTTTTTTTTATTCAGCGATCTGAGACTAGTGATAGTCTCATATTACTAGACTCATGCCGCTTGTCCCCCCCAAAATTTAAGACAATAAGGGGAAATGTTATAAATAAAAAGCTTGTATACATTATTGTTTAATTTTGAATTTCTGGTATTTTCTGCATTTTATCTTGTCATTCAATACTCATGGCATTGTTACTATGTATCTAGAAACTGGGTATTTAAGTGTGATGCTCTGCTAGATAAACAGTTAACATTGAAATCACAGTCTGCTCCTTGGTTCAAATTGTTTAAGAACGATCAGTTTAGATCCTCCTACCTAGTTAGTATGGATAATCATAACCTGAGAGCAGCCTTCACATCCTTGTGTTTTGAATCTATGCCAACAGCTGTATTAGCTGGCCGCTGCAGTAGAACACCTAAGGAACAGCGCTTTTGTATTTGTGACTCTTCTGTTATCGAGGATCTTCCCCATTATATTCTTGAATGCTCGATGTATGCCCAACCTAGGTTAAAATTTCTCTCTGGGATTTTATCAGACTTACGTTTCTACTCAGATTCTGAGAAGATTGTATTCTTGTTAGCTGATTTCAATGTCAACATATCCTATAGAATGTCTTTATATGCCTTGGATGCAAAGAAACTACAGGCTAATGCATCATATTACTAGACTCATGCCGCTTGTCCCAAAAAAAAATTTAAGACAATAAGGGGAAACATTATAAATAAAAAGCTTGTACACATTATTGTTTAATTTTGAATTTCTAGTATTTTGTGCATTTTGCCTTGTCATTCAATACTTATGGCATTGTTGCTATGTAGAGACTTGGTATTTAAGTGTGATGCTCTGCTAGATAAACAGTTAACACTGAAATCACAGTCTGCTCCTTGGTTCAAATTGTTTAAGAATCATCATTTTAGATCCTCCTACCTAGTTAGTATAGATAATCATAACCTGAGAGCAGCCTTCACATCCTTGTGTTTTGAATTAGTGCCAACAGCTGTATTAGCGGGCCGCTGCAGTAGAACACCTAAGGAACAGCACTTTTGTATTTGTGGCTCTTCTGTTATCAAGGATCTTCCCCATTATAGTCTTGAATGCTCGATGTATGCCCACAACCTAGGTTAAAATTTCTCTCCGGGATTTTATCAGATTTACGTTTCTACTCAGATTGTGAGAAGATTGTATTCTTGTTAGCTGATTTCAATGTCAACATATCCTATAGAATGTCTTTATATGCCTTGGCTGCAAAGAAAATACAGGCTAATGCTGTTCTTATGGGAACTAATTAGACACCTTTTGACTCAATTTTATTCTGATTGTATGGTTTTATTATATCTTAAATTTTACTCTAATCCTTGGTTTATGGCTTATGTAATGGCTTATGGCTAAATACAAATAAATTTCTATTTCATTTCATTTAGCTATGTATCTTCTACTGTATACTTAAATTGTTGTGCAAACTGAGTCCATCAAAATCCATCAGATGGTGCTGAGTCCATCAGAGCAGACAGACCTCTTAACTGAGGTCTTAACTGAGGTCTGGAGGAGGCAGCCATTTAACCATGTGCTTTCCTGGAAAGCTGGAGGAAGCTTCAAGATATTGACAACTCTGTAGAGGTCTATAGCTTCCTAAGCTAAGAAGCCTGTCATATATTTTAATATCTGATAGGGTATGTTTAGAGAGAGGGACAGAGGAATTGCATTTTACCCATTTCTTTTTAATCCCTTGCTCAGTCTGGTGCTGTGTGAAAAGTATGCTTACGAAAATTTTAGATGCTGGTTGTTAAGTCCTGAGCTTAACAAAGAGTCAGAGAGTGATTTCAGCCAAAACTCAAGTTTATTCTTCCACACGATCACTTCTCCAACACGGTACAACATCTGATAGCCCGAACAGTTTGCCCATTGAAACTGCTCGGTATTTAAACATTCCCGGCTAATATAGCCACTCCTACTCTACAGATAACAACCTATCAGGTTGATCGCATAAGGACCAATCACACACGTTCCCGCTTCCAGCTTGCTCGAATGTGATTGGTCGCACTTGTCTTGGACTTGAATCCCTGTCCAAGACGAAGCTTTACATTGCTTCCCAATGAGATGTTTCACGTTACATTTAATGCATTCATGGCAGCATCTGAATACATTACACTGGTAGTGGTTTTCTGTACCACATAGACCTCCACTGTCTTGGACATGCTATTTTAAAAGGAGTGCCCGGGGGAGGCAGTTGGCAAGTGGCTATTCCTCCAGGAGCATACAAGGCAGCAAACCTTCCCTGTGGTGACCCTGTGCTGGGCAGCCGGAGACACAACAGCAAGGCCTCAGAACTGGGAAGGGAAGCTGGGGGTCCCAAGCTCACAGTTTTTTAGCCTCCGGCTCACACACTTTTGTCTTCGCTCAGGAAGGATGGCTCCAGAGAAAACTGATTTATGCAGCAGCCAAATCGCTTGCTCACAACTTTAATGCCAGCAGCCCACAAAGTAGAATTTTTGCTCACAGGACTCCACAGCTTAGAGGGAGCACAGCATGCAGGTCGGACGTGTCTTGTACCTCTGGCCCAAGCGAGCTTCCATGTAATGAGTGGGGATTCAAACCTGGGTCGACCAGATCCTCGTCTGCTACTAGTCCTAACCACTACACCACAAAGGTAGCCTACATTTTCAGACGAGGCTGAAAATTAATTGCACTTTTAAAAAACAAAACAAGAAACCACCAGAACAGATAGGTCCAACTTTTAAGTGAAACCTTTCAGCTTCTCTTTTGTACAACGAAGCGTCAAATATACAAATACTTCGGCGTTTTCCGTCTCCCCCATCCCGCACGCTGCCAGCCGAGAACGACAGTGAAGCAAGTTTAGAGAAAGGAGGGGGCTGCAATGCAGCGGGCGGTATCGCGCAGCTTTTAATAGAACGTCGGCCCTCCGTTGCTAACCTTGGGCGCGATAAATCAGTTGACGCTTGGCTAGAAGTAATACGGTACCTGTCGTACCCAGGCATGGGGCCGCTGCGCTCGCTCGAAGCCGCCCGCTTCAAAGGAGAGAAGCCACGCCTCCTTTCCTCTCTAGAGAGTCGGCCAAGGGATTGTCACATAGGACTTCAGTTCTCCCATTGTCTTTTCAAGTATCCGGTAACAACGTCTTGAAAGTAGACAGTAATTCAAGTACAAAATAAATCCGAAGATGTCGTGTTTAGGTGCTTCTTGCATTGATTTGGACCTGCCTGGGCAAAGCACTTTTTAAACTCTCTAGCATCTTGGAAGCCTGTTCCCACCCCCCACCCCGCTAATGAAACACAAGCTACTTGGTGGTGGAAATTGCCATCAAGTCACAGCTGATTTTTGGCGACCCCGTAGGGTTTCCAAAGCAAGAGACGTTAAGAGGTGGTTTGCCAGTTTAGGAGGCTAAAAATTCTAGGCGGGGGATGAGGAAAACTCACACCTTTTACAGGATGCAACAGGCAGTATTCCAACCAGTCCACTTCTTCCATGTTATCAAAGATACAGCTTCTGCCAACTGAAATGTGGGAAGAAAACCGGAAGTTTCCCCCAGCTGAAGCCCAACACTGAGGCTTCATGCAACTTTACTTATTTCTCTACTTCATTTAAACCCCGCCGTCTCCCCCACGGGAAACCCAAAGCAGCTTACGTCCTTCTCCTCTCCTCCATTTTATCTTCACAACAACCCTGTGAGGTAGAGTAGGCTGGAAGTATGTGATCCGCCCAGGGTCACCCAGTGAGCTCCTGTGGCAGAGTGGGGATTCGGACCTTAGTCTCCCAGATCCTGGTCCAACACTCTATCCTACACCACACTGACTCTCAAGCTACCCCCTCAGTCACAATACAACAGGAGGCCCGTGGCTCCTCAGACCTTATTTTGGTATAATCCAGCATCACTCAGACACACCTGAAGAAGAGCAAGCCAAGCTGACTCAAGAAAGCTTAGACTGGGATTCATGTTGTTCGTCTTTTAGGTGCCCTGCTGAATTCATTTCACACCCTGAAACTCTTTTTGGTCGCTAAGGTGCTACTTGATGTAGATCTAACTCTTGAGTTTTAGTTTGCATTGCTTCAAGTGCATCTGAGGACACGGGTCTCTACCCCAACACCCTAGATGATGGAATGAATTTGTGCTAGTCTTTAAGAAGAGGAGGAAGATGAGCTGTACCTTGAAGGGGCCACCGGACTCCAGTTTATTTTTGCTGAGGCGGGCTAAGACGGCTACCCTTCTAGAACTGTACAGGACCAGCCTTCCTGTGGTCTGAATGGCAGCCTCTAGTCCAGGGGTGGGCAGGCTTGCTTAACTCTATTGAAAAATATGCAGATTTGCTTTTTATTAACATTAAATGAGACTGGCAGAAATACAAACAAAAGGGGGTAAAAACAAGATATTGAAAATGATATTTATCCAATGATATTTGTAGAGCGGGGGGGGGGGCGACGCTTTGAGAATGCGTTTAAAGTTAAAGTTGAAGTTGCTTTCTTTCTCTGCACACACACACCCCACCTCAAGCCTACCCAGGGAGGAGAACACTGGCTGGGAGCCACACAACATGTGTGAAAGAGCCGCATGTGGCTCCCAAGCAGGAGGCTGAAGTTGGTTCCTTATTCCCAGTTCCTTATTCATTCCTTATTTGTGGCTTATTGGTGAAATCATCCAGAAACACTGAGGAGAGTTGGAAAGCTCTGAACCCCAAAATCAGGTCTGGAACACCCAGGGCTATTTTGGAGGAACGCACAGGAACGGAGTTCCGGCTGGTTCCCAAGTTGGCCACGCCCAGCAGGAACTCATTAGCATAATAGGCCACACCTAACAGCAGAAACTCATTAGGATTGGCTACATTAGGGGTGTGTGGCCTAACATGCAAAGGAGTTCCTGCTACAAAAAAAGCCCAGGGTTTTGACAACAAACAAGGTAAACAGAATAAGAAGCAAAAGGTGGGTGTGGCAACATGGGGGTGTGGCCTAATATGCCAGTGAGCTGTGATGTCAGGGCTGTGGCCTAATAGGCTAATGAGTTTCTGCTGTTGGGTGTGGCCTATTATGCTAATGAGTTCCTGCTGGGCTTTTTCTACAAAAAAAGCCCTGGGAACACCACACATCACATACCCCCACGTTCAGGGGACTCTCCCCTTTAAGAAGATATATCCTGTTTCCTGGTCCAAAGTATGGTGGGGATGTGTCATTTGGGGTGGTCCACAGATTATTTTGTGGGTGCAGCCTTGGCCTAACATCTGCCTGTGGGATTGTCCTGGGGCACCGCACTTTGGAGAGGCTGGCACAAGCACCTCACTTTGGACCCAGACAAATAATATGTCCCCTCGAAGGGGAGAGGCTGCTGATCATGAGGGTGTATGAAGTGTGGTGGTCCAAACCTTATTTTGGGTTTTAAGGGGCAAGCAGTTCCTTATTTAAATCTCCTTAGAAATAGTGTCGTCATGGAGGCACTCCAAATAGAAGGGTGTGGGGCCGGAATCAGTGTTTGGACCGGGCAGTGCCATATGTCTCCTTGCAGAGGACAGTCCCCAGAGTGTAGTGATGTGTCATTTGGGGTGGTCCAACGATTTTTTGGGGGGGTTGCAGCCTGGCCCCAGTGTCTGCTTGCGTGATTGTCCTGGGGGCACCGCACTTTGGAGCAGCTGGCACCAGAACCGTGCTTTGGACCAGGAAACAGGATATATCTTCTTGGAGAGTCCCCTGAACGTGAAGGTATATGGTATGTGGTGTTCCAGACCTTATTTTGGGGTTCAGAGCTTTTCAGCTCTCCTCAGTGTTTCTGGATGATTTCACCAATAAATCACGAATAAGGAACTGTGAATAAGGAACCAACTTCAGCCTCCTGCTCAGGAGCCACAGTTTGGCCACCCCTGCTCTAGTCTTTATACCGAGTCAGAGTATTGGTCTATCCAGGCCAGTCTTCCTCTTGTTTATTCTGACTGGTATTAGCAGGGCCTTGGGTGGAGGTCTTTTCACCTCTCCTATTTTGTTTCCTAATTTGAGGCCCCATTCAAACGGAGGATTTGCCATGGGAGAGCGATGAGTGCATGGCGGATTATCCAGGCGAGATCACACAGCAACATCTGGGAAGTGGAGCACACCCGTGGCGTACCGCCGAAAATGCGGGATTAAAAACTACGTGCTTGGAGGTA